ACAGTTCAAAATACTGGTAATCAGGATGCTCACAGAAATGGTTGCATATGGTCACAAATTAGAGGAAAAAATGAAGACTATGAAAAGGGAAATAAAGGAAAATGTACAAGGAACTGACAGTAACAGGAAGGAAACTAGGACTCAAATCAATGGTTTTGAGCAGAAGGAAGAAATAAACATCAACCAGAGCAGAATGAAGAAAGAATTTTTAAAAAATGAGGAGAGGCTTAGGGATCTTCAGGACATCTTTAAAAATTCCAACATCCAAATCATAGGGGTGCCAGAAGGAGAAGAGGAAGAGCAAGAAATTGAAAACATAATGAAGGAGAACTTCCCCAATCTGGTAAAGGAAATAGACTTCCAGGAAGTTCAGGAAGCTGAGAGAGTCCCAAGAAGTTGAACCCAAGGAAGAACATCATTATTACATTGCCCAAGATGAAAGATAAGGAGAGAATCTTAAAACCAGCAAGAGAAAAAGAGACAGTTACCTACAAAGGAATTCCTCTTAGACTATCAGCTGATTTCTCAAAAAAAAATCTTGTAGGTGAGAAGGGGCTAGAAAGAATTATTCAAAGTCATGAAATGCAAGGACCTACATCCAAGATTACTCTGTCCAGCAAAGCTATCATTTAGAATACAAGGGCAGATAAAGTGCTTCCCAGAGAAGATCAAGTTAAAGGAGTTCATCATCACCCAGCCTTTATTATATGACATGTTAAATGGACTTATCTAAGAAAAAGAAGATAAAAATATGAACGGTAAAATGACAACAAAGTCACAGTTATTAACACCTGACCCTAGAAAAGCAAAAGCAAAAACAAACTAAGCAAACAACTAGAACAGGAACAGAATCACAGAATAAAGATCACATGGAAGGTTATGAGCAGGAGGAGTGGGAGGGGGAGAGGGGGAGGTACAAAGAATAAATAGCATAAATGGTAGGTAGAAAATGGGGGGGTAAGAATAGTATAGGAAATGTAGAAGCCAAAAAACTTATATGCACAACCCATGAACATGAGTTAAAGGGGGGTGGGGGAAGCAGGTGGGAGGGGGAGTGCAGAGCAGAGGGGAATAAAGGGGGCAAAATGGGACAACTGTAATGACATAATTAATAAGGCATATTTTTAAAAGTGTGTTTCTATCCTGAATGAACACACCTTTGAAGAATGAACAAGGAGAATGAACAGTTTTCTCCTTGCCTTACTTAGCTTTACTCTTTGTGGTGGTTATAAATACCGCAATTTTAAGCAACATGATTGTGAACTTAAAACTAGCTTCTTAATGCACATAGTCCACATAATAAAAGTAATGAAAATTTGCTGCCTCAAAATTTGCCATGGTCTTAGAGCAGCAAATCTAAATAAAGGAATCCTAAATTTAAATGTCCCCAAAGGCTTAAGAGTATATCACATTGCAGAATGTGGTCTGGAGCCACTGTGGGAGTGGACTCTGCCCCTCAGTCAAGCATTCCAATAGTGACACACTCCACTAGTAGATTAAAAGTTTAACACATGGCTAAAGATTCTCCTACCAGCTTTCTGAACACTGGAAATAATACATGGCACATGCAGACAATTCTGTTCCTTGGTATTCTGAGAATAATAATGAAAGAGACACAGGATGTGTGGAGAGGTGGACTTCCAGCTAAGGCTCGCCAGGTAAGGAGATCTGTAAATCCTCCCTCCAAAAAGCAACCATAAACCCAAACAAAACTGACAAAACAAGCATTTCAGCACTCTGCAAAGTGACCAAAAGCTTAAAAAACTGCTGAACTTTGGGCAACTACAGCGCATATCTGTGGCACTCTCACTGGGTCCTGCTTCCATTCCCTGGCCTCCACAGTTTGGTCAGGGGCACAGCAGGGCATGTCATGAGGACGGACAGCTTTGTTGTTGTGGCCATGGTCTCAGGCAACTCACTTGATTTGGTGGATGAGCAGGGAAGGCTCAAGCTCCACTACCCTGGGGTTGTGGCTGTGGTTGTGGCAAGCACATTCATGGCTGAGGCTATAAGAGAGACCAGAAAGTGCCCAGGTGAAAAGCTGGGTCAGACTTGAAAATAGCCTGACAGTCCCACAGACGGTGTCCCTCATGGACACATGGACCCATCCACTGAGAACAGAAGCCTTGCTGGCTCCAGGTGTTGGGCAATCTCTGTCCAGTCATTGGATGACCACAAAGCTATGCAGACACAAGGCAGTTCCCAGGAAGTCAAGCTTAAAAACCAAAACAAGAAACTAATGTAAGAACTTAGCAGAAACATCAGAGGCCAAATACTACAGGAAAGACAAATTTCACACATTTAACCCAGATGAGTCACTAAACAAAGAAGGGAGCAACAGGATACAGCACTGACAGCCACCACTTTAGGAAAGATGAGAATCCAGAGTGGCTACAAATTTGTGCCTAAAATGTCCAGGTTTCAATAAAAATTATAAAATGTGACCTACATTCAGAAATAAGAGGTCGAAAGAAACCATTTATGTGTCTCCCCAGACGTTGGTTGTAGCCCACAAAGACTTCAAGCAGCTCATAGAAATGTGTTAAGAGACTAAAGGAAATCATGTTTAAAGAATTAAAAGATGGTGACAATGAATCAGCAAATAGGAATTCTCAATAAGAGATAGAAATTATAAGGAAATAACTAAGTTTTTTATGTTGGAGTCAGAACAGACAATAACTGAAATGAGAAATTCACTAAGAGTTCAACCTCAAATTCAAGGTGGCAGATGGAAAACAGTCAGTCCCCTTGAAGACAAATGACTAGAAATCTCCCAGTTTGAGGGGGGAGGAAAAAAAATTAAAGAGAAATGAACAGAGCCTCAGCAACTTGGGAGACAGCATCAAAGAAACTGACATGTAATTAATTAGAGTCACGGAGAGGGGAGGGATAAAGGATGAGAAAAGTTATTTGAAAAAGTAATGGCTGAAAACTTCCTTAACTTGATGAAGAACATCAATCTACACATCCAAGAATCTTAGTGAATCCCAAGTAGGACACATTCAAAAAGATCTACACCTAAACTCATCATAGTCATTAAAGAGAGAGAGAGAAAATCTTGACAGCAGCAAGGAAAAAATGACTCAGCAGATCGAGGAGAGAATCCATGGATTGAAGCAATGGAGGCTATAGATGCAGTGGGTGATATGTTTAAAGTGCTGGAAAAAAAAACCACAACCTGTCAACCAAGAATTCTACACCCAGAGAAAAATCATCCTCCAAAAATGAAGGTGAAATAAATACTTTACCAGATAAACAATTACAGAGAATTCAATGCTTGTACATTTTCTTTACAAGAAATACTGATGGAATTCCTTTGGATTGAAAGAAAATGACACCAGACAGTAACTCAAATCCACAGGAACAATGAAAAGTTCTGAAAATGGTAAATACAAAGATTCAAATTTTAAAAATCTATAAATACCAGGTGTATTTCTCTCACTTCTTATCTAACTTCTTTAAAATATATAAAGCTTCATAAGCCAGTACCTGTAACATTTTATCACTGAGCTTATAATATGTAGTGATATAATAATATCCATGGCAATAATAATGCAATGGAGAAAAACAGAATGGAGCTATTTTGGAGCAAAGATTATTACTTTAGTTTATCAGTTAATATTAGTCCGCAGTAGACTCATAAGTCAAGTTGTATACTGTAAGATCAACCACTAAGAAAATAATTTTCAAATGAGAACAAAATCAACAGAAAAAATTAAAATAGTACCCTAAAAATGTTTAACAAAAATGGAGAGACCAGGAAGGAGGAAAAGAGAAATGAAAACGGAGATGTATAAAACAGTAACAAAATGGCAAATGTAAATCCAAACCTATCAATAATTCCAATAAATGTAAATGATCACAGGGGGTAATAACACTTAGAATAGTGGTAGCCATGTATTTTAGATATTTATCTTCTTAATCCTCAAAATAGCCCAATGGGGTGGCACTGTTCTGATTTCCATTTTAGACGTGAGGAAACCAGGGAAAATCCAGATTGAAGAATCTGCCCAGGTATGATAGAGCTAGAAAACAGAAGAGTTACTTGGAACCAAAATGACTCAAACAATTTGAAAAACCTAAATTCATCTGAATAAAGGTGCGAGTGCAGATGAGCAGCTGGAGAGTATTTGGGAAAGGGGGAGCGTGCCGGCCTCTGTCCTTCAGTGCTCTCTGAGAATTAGCCCAAGTCGTCTTCACAGTGACCCTTCTAGGCAGGGGGCCCTGTTAATTCTCTTCACAGGTGAAGAAAGGTAGGCACAGGGAAATTGCCTTGCCCAAGGTCTCACAGTGCGAGGCAGTGCGAGGATTCAAACTGTATCATCTGGCAGCAGAGCCTGTGTGCATGTTACGCTGTTTTTTCCTCCCAATTCACCAACTCAAAGAGCACACGGGTAAAAGGGAATGTTCAGGCATCTCTGCAAAGGGCAAGGAGTCCTGAAATGGAAACCTGGGGGAACAGAGGTGTGGTGGGCAAATCATTCCTGCTTTAACCTTTGTGATGGGTGGAGAGGTGTTGGAGTGAATTATGTAAGTTCCAGATCACTCATTCATTTGTTCACTTGTTCATTCATAAAAAAATACTCTCAAGCTTCCTTCTTCTCCTTCACAGGAAAGGGCTGGGCTAAGGCATCACAAAAAAAACTATAGTTTTAATGAGCACTTCATATACTCCTCACATCCACCCTGTGAATTAGCTGTTCCTGAAACCATTTTGTTGATGAGCAAGTGGAAGCTCCATCATAAAACCTGTATGTGGGGGCAGTAAGAAGCAAGGCTGGGTGAGCCTGACCCCAGTATCCACCCACTTCCTCCTGTGCCTGGAAGAGAAGGGGCTCATGGATGTGGGCCAGGAGCCTGGCATCCATCCGACTGATGGTCAGGGTTCACTGTGCTCTAGAGATGCAGTTCATCGTCTTGGTCTTAGGTTGTCAGTGGTGAAGCATTGGCAAGAAATGGAGCTTTAAAAAAAAACAAACACCTATTGCTTTTGTCTAATTTTTTATTTGAACATCAAATTAGATTGAGAAAATTGTTTACAGGTGCTTAAGCATCCCATTGGATTCTTTACTTTTTAAAAGTGCAAAAGAGGTTTACAAGTGTGTTTCATTAAACAAAGCAAAGCTGCAACAAAACAGAATCACATCGATAATGGTATGCGTCAGCAAGAGGGCATATAAATCCATCAAACACAATTTGGCATTTGAGCCTTTCCCCATAAAACAAGAGCTCTACACTGAAGAGTATGTAGTGCACAAAAAGCATTATTTTTAAATCATGAAAGAACATAAACTGGCATAATGTCACTTATGAATTCAAGTCTCTGTAACCAATGACCTCTCTGTGGATGCAAAGGGGTCCGTGTCTCAGGCACCTGCTCATGGGGCTGCATGTTGTCTCCAGGGGACACAGCGATGTGCAAACACACTCGAGATGGGTTAAAAAAATGGCAGCATTTACATATTTTAAAAGTTCAGGCACATTTGGATGTGAGAAAAAGAATAGAAATTCTTCTTGAATATCTAAAAGACAGTGCAAAAATTGAAGTGCCATAATAGAGGCAGCTGTTACTTAGAAAACAATTGAAAATGACTTAGAAACAGGCCACTCTCACTTAAATCCAAATGGAAAGGAAATGCGGTTAGAGTAGTCACACTAATGAGAAGATGGGTGTCTGGAACCGCAGTGAAATTCATTTGCTACAGCCGAGGGTAAATTTGCAGGGAGTTCACCTAAGGAAGTGCAAGGTGTGATCTGGGCCATCCTCCCAAGACTTGACTATGGTCACCTCCTAAGCTAGTGTATAACTCAACTTGCCTTCAGTAATTACTCTCCCAAAGCAGATTTGCTGGTGAATATTAGACATGACTCTTGGCCCTAGTGACCATTTCCAGGATGCACGGTCCATCTCAGAGTTGGCATAAGATTTGGAATAGAAAAATATCTGGGATGGGTTCCATCTAGGGGTACACTACACCAATGGCCTACATCAATGGTCATGTGACTCTATAAAATTTTAACAGGTGAGAATACCTGAATGGGACCAAAAGTAATTTATCAGTAAGTCCCTTATTTGTTTGGCCCTGGAAAGGCATGGGATATTGACCTGGCTCAACATACTTACAAAGTTTTTAGGGAGAACTAGTCTCAGATGGCACTTCCTTAGGGATTTTGTAACCTACGTGGGGTGTTCTCTTTGGATGAACTAGCCTCTCTGATTGTTGCATGACTGCATTACAGAATCGTGACAGCAAGCCTAGAGTTTGGCAGTGGCCAAAAGGAACACAGGCTGCTGGCTAGTCCTCAGACTGGACTGCAGATGCCACCAGTTCTCCCCTGGACCTCGAGCTGTCATTTTAGAAATGGCTGTCAGATAGTGCTAGTTATTTGTGGTTTGCAGGGCCAAAGTCTGGACCCTGGTGTGCACCCCAGACACCAGTATTGACCTGCCTACAATACTTTCCAGACTCTTATTACCGTACTTCCCATTCTCCAAATTCCTGAACCCACTTCCTCACAGCACCCCAATCCCCACCCCAGGCCAATCATGTCTTTTAAACTCCACATTGCCTCATCGTGGAGGGCAAACGCAGCATGTTCCCTGCACCCGACAGCAACATTAGCTGCAAAGTGTCAGCTGTCCATTAGTGGCACTTCAAACAAGAATAAAAAGAGATCTCTATAATCACTTGAGAGTCCTGGGCTAACATTCCAGCCTTCTGGTATTCTCTGCCCATTTCACATATAGTAGTATCTTAATATGAATACAAACACATCAGATGAATAATGTAAAACCCTCCACTGTAGCATTGTTTGGATTTAGCTGGTATTATATCATCTATAGTCCTAATATTTTTTGTCTGTTTTTATTTTTTTAAAAGAAAATCTAAGTATAAACATTAAAAAGAACCCACTGACCCATTAGCTACTGTCCAAAAATATTACTACTAATATTTTGGTAAAGCAAAATTAGCTGCCCTGAATAAATTTTCCTTTTCAGGCATAATCTCTGCTACATAAGATTGTCTATCACTCAATATCCAACAATAGGCATCTGGATTAGTGCGATTTTGTCTACTGTGGATATAAAAGTTGATATGAAATGTGATCTTCATTTAAATGAATAATCACCAGGACTTAGGCCTCAATGACTGCATACAAAGAAAAAAAAACGGAATATTTTTGTTGATTTTGCATGTTAACCCAGTCAAATCAAATCCAGAACAGAATTACTACATTCAATTGTCTGATAAACAAGCATTGCAATTTCAAAAAATATATATATTATACTATAGAAGGTGCTTCTTCAACAAAACAACAACAAAAGAATTATGTTCCAAACATATTCTTAATGACAATACATAAAATTGCCCCCCAAATTTAGATGCACATATCTGGAAAAAACTACTCCTTTTTAAAAAAAATTTTGCCCTTCCTGATTCCCAGTCCCTTAGTGACCACCGACCGGGCAATTAGAAATGAGTGAAATCCACATCTTGAAATAGGCAATCCCCAGAGAAGCCCTGGAAGCTTAGCCAGGTCATCGGCTGACACATCACCTCTCAGCAGGGTTCAGATTATAGACGCTGAGGTCACTGGAGGAAACTAAGCTTCCTTTTCAGCTGAGAACAGGAAACCCGTAATTGCTCTCCCAACAGGCAAAGGTCCCAGACGAGGCTGCCCTGTGGCTGCAGTGAGACTTTCTTTTTCTGTCTATAGGTCAACAGATTCCTGTGGCCCAGTTCTAGTCTCACTCTTCTGGGTTATACAGTATAATGAGATGAGCTCTGGGGGAAGTTTTGTCTTCCCCCACTCCCCCAAGCCCAAACCTTTGTATTTGGAAGATGTCTAAATAACCAAGGGCACGTGTAGTCTGGGCAGGCCCCAGGTGCCGGGGTACAGAGTACTGCACTCCCCGGCCCCCTCCCTGGCTTCAGAGTGTGCTTGGTCAACCACAGGGATACAGCTGTCCAATCAGGGTCACATGGCGAAATGGAGAGGAGAGGGCTGCCCCATGGACCCCAGGGCAGCCCGCAGTGCAGTGTGGCACTCCTGGGAGGCTGCAGCCTATGGCAGGGCCACCCTGAGCCTCACAGGCTCATCCAGTGTCAACTCTTTCCTCCCTGTCCTCTAGTACCTACAACGGTCATGTACATTTACTATTTTAGCCCAGTGCCCCAGGGCTTACAGTGTCACTAGGGTGCCCACTCATTTAAAGGGTTTTTGGTCACAGGCTGGGCACTCTACACAAGACTAATTCATGTTCAGTGTAAATTACACACCAGGAAGATCCAAGCAGAGCGCCCCCTGCTGTAAGTGTGAGACCACACCGCAACAGGTCCTGAAGTGGACTAACTGCAGGCCATGGGGGAAGAGGGCTCTCTTTTATAAAACAAAAACAAAAATTAAAAAAAAAAACACAAGAATTTTATCCTTCACAGGAACGCTGGCATATGGGGAGGTGACTTAACTGGGATCAGCCTGCTGTTTTCCCATAGGTCTATGGGAAGCGGGAATTAACTGGGACCCAAGACCTGTACGTAGTGCTCTCAAAAGCCAGCGTGAGAGTGTGCAGCAATCCTGAAGGTGCAGTGTATTCAGTTGACAAAGTCTTGACAGCTAGAGGATCTTCCTTCCCTGTGTGCATCCTGTATTCCTATACAGGGAAATGAATAGACAATCACCGAGTATTCGGCTATAGTCAAGCAACCGAGCAATAAAGTGTTACTTTAATAAAATGATATGTTACTATAGGAATACAAGAGGACACTGTAATAAACCCTCGATCTAGCTTTCTCCAAGTCAGCAGTTAAAGGAGCCACTTCCCATATCTTTCCTGTGGCTTAGATTCATTAAAAAGTGCTTCACGGAAGTGAAATGTCCACTCTCCAGGCCTGGCTCTCAACAAGGAGCTCAAATGCCCGGGCTCATCTGAGCCCCAGCTCCTAGACTGAGTTCAGTTATGAAAGGCTACAGGAATCCTTATGCTTAGTAATAGAGCAAAGGGAGAAAGAGAGCCATTACAAAGAATTTAGCCCTGGAACCCCTTTGGCTGTTCCCAGAAGAAGGTGTGCCGCTAAGAACTGAGCAAGCAAACGAATGGCCACTCATATTGTAAAGCCACAGTGGTGGTTGCATGCTGGAGTGCGTTCAGGAGCAGAGTTTGCTATCGTGGTGGATGACGTGGGCAGAAGGCTGCAGGGATTCTCGGAAACTTGGTGGGGCCAGGGAGCTCTTACATTGTGGTGGGGAACCCCTCTGCCTCCCCACTGATGTAATACGTGTGCAAGGAATGCGACGAAGGGGACCCCGCGGTGGCCATCTGGCCTTGGTGCAGCTCCTCCATGGGGACGCTCCCGCGGCTGGTGGGGGAGCGCAGGCGGTGGGCATCCAGCATCTCCAGCAGCAGGTCGTAGAGCGGCACCACATTCTTGCACTTCATGTTGTACAGGTGCTCCATGCCTTTGTTACTGTGGGTGGGAAGACACAGAGAGAGGACTGCTTCAGACCACCACAAACCCCAGGCTCTGAGACTCCTGGACGGCGAAGGTGAAAACTCCAAAGACCCAGGCCAGTCCTGCTGCCTGTTTAAAGAACCACTTTAGGGTTTGTTCCCTCCTACTAAATCAAATGAGAATAATCTACTTTCTCCTATCAGCATTCTATCTCAACAGAGAGCAGATGAGATATACAGCCAAACAGGAGGTGTTTATTGAAACATGGGAAACAGTTCAAGAAATCCCCTTGATTCAACCGCTTTCCCACTGAACTCCGAATAAAACCTAATAGTCTTTTCCTAGCTCTGCAAGGTCCAACTGATGTGACTTCCACCAACCCCTCTCCCCGAACGCACCCCTGAGAGCCACCCCAGTTCTGGGCTGTCTCGTGAAGAAATGGAGCTCCCTTTACTTCCAGACTCAGGGTACCTGCACTCACTGTTCCTTCCGTCTGGTACACGCTTCCCTAAGATCTTCAAATGTCGCCCCTGTGAAAGGCCTTCTGCCACCCTGATGGCCACAGCCTCAATCTCCTGAGCTTCAGCTGTCCCTTTGGATATTACTCTATTTTCCTCCTTCCCTACCTGAGAGTCTTCTACTTATGTTTGTCTATATTTATATTTATTCTTGACCACCTAAGTGCATGCTCATGCACACACACAGCAACATACGCACTGCCAGTTCCATGAGGGGCAGCAATTTGCCCATCCTGTAGGCCTACCCCAGGGTGGAGAACGGGGTAAAAACCCAGAAAATAGGGAGTAAATGGACATAGGGTAACGTGGGCACATGGCCTTTCTCCTCTTACCACATTCCTCCTCTGCCTTCCTCCACCAGCCCCAACTCTGCTCTGTCCCCAACACACTACCAGGGAAAAAAATAGAACAACTATTATCTATCTTGAAATTTTAAAAAGTATCATAAGTAGGCAGGACTGAGAGAATGCCCTAGAATCTACCTGTATCTTCAGCAGGGGAAAGTCAGCTCAGCTGGAGAGCCGCCCTGAAAGCACAGCATCAAAGCTGCTTAGGCCTTACGACCCAACCTACATGACAGGTTCCAGTGGCACTTTGTTGGGTTTGTGTTTATTTGTTTTCATTTAAAAGTGGCCCTAACGTGACATGCCCCCTGGTTCTGACACTGCCTTGCTCGTGCAACCTAATGAATCACATTTATAATCAGATGAAGCCTGGTGTCAAATTCTGAGTAATCACATATGGCTGCCTCCAAGCTTGACAAAATAGAGTTCTGTGATTTGGATAGAGCACAATGAGGCATCAAAATAATAGTGTGAGTGTGTGTGTGTGTGTGTGTGTGTGTGTGTGTGTGTGTGAGAGAGAGAGAGAGAGAGAGATCAAAGCTTTCAAGAATAACAACTTCACTCCAGCTTTTCACCCAATTCCGAGAGCAGCTCCAGAGAACTCACTCACCCGTTCCCCTCAACTACCCATTTCCAGTCAGACCAGTGGGGCCTGTAAATTCAGTGCAGATATATTGGGTATCAAATAATTAGGTTTGTTAATGCTGAAAAAGCAGTTACTAGATTTGAAAATCCAGCAATGCCTACCAACAAATAAAAATCTTTATCTATAGTACTTGGTTTCTACAACATCTTTGAAATTCCTAGCTCAGAGTAAAAACTTCGCATTTCTTTAAGGAAAAGTATATGGTCTCAGCCAGAAAATGTGGTGGAGGCTTATGTAATTCTGGTACATTGCCCACTCCTGTCTTTGTAATATTCATCCAAAGAAACAGGAAAGATTTGAAAACGTGTGCTACAAATGCAGTTACCTACCCTGCCCAGCCAAGGTGAGACCTTCATCTGTGAGACAGGAATTTAGGGGGAACTCTGAAAACAGAGACTACCTTCACTCTCTCCCAAGCTTTGCCAAGTAGAAGCCCTTACAAACTCACAAGACAAGGGAAATCCTTAAATAATTTATTCATTCATTCATTCACTCAGTAATAATGCTATGAGCATATATGATATATGAGGCTTTATACAGGGCACTATGGAGTACACAACAAAAGAAAGCTACATTTATTTTCTCAAGAAGCTAGTAATTTGTAAGGTTTTCTCCACAAAGGGTAGTACCTGGGACTTCAGTGGAAAAATATCTTGCCATTTGACCCATAGTTTGAAAGTCCCTGAAAATTTAATCTGACCTTTTCCAGACACTTGGTCCTTCTTCCCTCACAGCCACTAAGGAAAGGAATCTTTTTCATTCCTGAGGTCCCAGTGTAAGCCCAGGGTCACACATGGGTACTGTTTCCCCACAGTCTCCCCTTCACTTCATTTCTGTGGCCTTCGTGGAATAAAAAATCCACCACCTTCTTCGTCTCTGCAGGCCAAGTTCTGTTCATGAGAACAGTGTCCACTCAGCCTCTGGCCAGCCAACTTACATGTTGTCTTAGTGTGAAAATGAGGCCACTTTGACTGTCTGTAACAGAAAGGCTCTTTATCCTCAGTTCCAGAAGAAAATATCTAAGCTGTGATAGATCAGCTTGCTGTTCAGAAATATGGAGTCCCTGTGTCATGTGTCCATGACTTTGATTTTGGACTTCATCACGTGACTTGCTCGACCAATAGAATATTAGTAGATGTAGCTCAATTGAAGTATTAAAATGCACTTGTCCAACATGGCTTGCTTTCTTATGCCTCTGCCATTGCTATCAAAATAATATGTCCCAGCTAACCTGTGGGGACAGGAGGCTAAGGAACTGAGGCACCTGGCCAATCTGCATGCCTGCAACATGGAGCCGTCTGCCAGCTGTGTCCAGCTGCAGTCAGCTGACTCACAGATGTGTGACGGAGCCCAGCAGAGCTGCCCAGCCAATCTGCAGCCTGCGGTAGAGTCCTTTATGGCTATAGCTCAGAGTGAGAGGAAGCCCTGCAAAGTTAAGCAAGGGGCTAGAGCATAAAAAAGTAATACAAGCAAAACAAAGGGATTTCCACTTTTATCTAAAACAATGGGAAGCCATTTCAAGGTTTTAAGTAAGGAAACAACAGGATCAAATTTTCGCTTATGATGGTCACTCTCCATTATGGAGAATGAATTTGAAAGGATGGAGATTGGAGGCAGGGGAAAGGGTTACGTGGCTGGTGCAGAACCCCAGAAGGACATAGTGTGGCCTGGACAAGGGTCGTGGCAGCGGGGGTGGCAAGAAGAGATCTGAGAGGGATGGAGCAGGTAACGTTGACCTTCCCTGCTGCATCTGGGCACGGAGTCTCTGGTTCAGGATTTCTAAGTGAAGTAAGGAGATTTTGACGCAGGAACCACAGTGGACGTGCCTAGTGCCTTCAGAGGATGGGGGACCTCAGAGACCTTCCTGACGAAGTGGGAAGAAGTGAATGACCTCAGCTGCCCTCTTTGCCCCACGTGCACACAGCACACTCACCCCCACGAGACCTTGCACATGCTGCAAACTGAACATAAATGTCACTTCTTCCCTGAGGCCCTCCGTGACACTCGCCCCAAGTCCTGGACAGGTTTACAGCCTCCGTCTCCCATCCCCCCAAAGCACTAATTTTATTACATGTCAGAAACAATTCCAAGTTTGTTGCCCACATCCTGACACCAGCCCCTCCTGGGCCAGCTGCCACCTATGTTTGGGGGCTTGTTTTCTTTATGTCTGTCCAGTGGGGAACCCAAGGGTGCCTCACCTCATGTGCCTGATGTGGGAGAGGATGAGGAGGAGCTGAGCCAGGCGCCGGTGCTGCTGCTGAAGGGTCAGGCCTGCCTTGGCCATCAAATGGATTAACGTGTCTGTGATCTTGTCCAGGACACGGTGGATATGGTCCTTTTCTTCCAGAGTCTTCAGAGTGCTTGACAGAAACGTGTACACTCCTGAATGCACAGAGAGAGAGGGTGAGGGACAAACTCAAAGAGGATGAAGTCGAGGAGACTGAGGGTGTGCGTGGGGCATCATACTGAGTCAGTGTCCTTCCCTCACACAACAAGGGGGGGGTTGGGACCCATTGATCCAGGCAACTATGCAAAATTCCTACATGTGAGCCAGGTTTTGTCATCAACAATCCCAGGAAAGGCACCGGGAGCCTTGGGGCCATGACGGTTCCACTAGCTCCCCCTTCTCTGACAGGTTTGACATCAACATAAACTATCCTGTTAATGCTGATCACAGCCTTGTGAGAGGGAAATTATCATTCCTTTTCAAATGAAGAAACCAAGGGCAGAGGGACACAATAACCAAGATAAGTCAATCAGCAGGAGAGAGCAATGCTGAGAATGAACCCCAGTGAGCTGACTCCATATGCAGTCATTATAATGGAGATGCTCTATAGATAAGTGACCTCTGGGTGAGCCACACAGACAGAGAAAGCGATTTGATAAGTGATTCACAGGCCATTTTTCCAGGTGGGATTTAATTTACTGTTACCTTTCAGGTCAGGTCTAGGGCCCTGGTACTTCTCACCCTCAATGAGAGGTTTAGAGGGGGTGGTGCAGAGGACAGTAGAAAGTGCTGTTTTTCACTGTTAGGCATGTTTTTTACCTCTTTCCTCTATTCTAGCCCTAGATCCTGCTCTCAGGGCCACATGGAGACTCAGAACCAATCAGGCTACTCTAGTCTTCTGGACAATAACAGCCCCCAGCTACCTCACAGCTGCCACACACAATTCCAGGCAAAAAAAATCAGAGCTTTCCCTGGAATTGTATAGGGCATTACGAGGTAGAACTTCTCTCCTCCAGGACTGCTGAGCCGAAAGGTTGAGAATCCGGGACTTTCACCCAGCGGCACCTTCCTGTAGCACATGGAGCTCCTGTCTGCAGAACAGAGCATTCCAGCGCCAAGTAGAGGTGCCAGTTGGTGGGAGAGGGGGGAACCCTGGTTCCAGTTACATGGTCCTGCTTCTTACATTTTTTATTTCACTATAGAGTGTTTGTAGTATCCTTTCTAACATATGAATACATAAATTCTCTTTTGGTTTAAGACAGTGTGAGTTGGGTTTCTCACACTTGCCACTGAAAGAATCCTGACTATTCAACCAAGTTGTGAGCTCAGCCCGAGGGCCAGAAGCAAAAGATTAGTAAAGAAGTGAAAAGTACTGAGATCAGGAGGAGGTCAGGATGGATTCCTCTCTTCTTGGGACCACAAGAATGGATCTGTCTGTCAAGTAAATACTCCATAAGAAGCTCCCTTCTGCCTAATTCTCGTGTATCACCTCGTGGGAAGCAGATGAGGTAATATTTTCTCCCGATGGTACATACTTAGCCATATTTTTTCAGTCTTATTTCTACTCAGCCCACTGATGCTCTCATAGATTTATTTCTTCTTCTCCCCCTCATCCTCCCTGGTACCTTCAAATTGAGGCTCCTAAGTTTATCATCCCCTGACACTGTAGTGGTAATGTGCAGATGAGTTGTGACTCACACAGCAGCCTGCAGATTTAGAATGGGGAAAACATTTACACAGAGGAACTCATAGTAAACAGGGTTGTCATTGCCCAGAACAGAAAATGGCTAAGCTTTACGACAAATTCAACAACAACAACAAAACCATACTGGTCAGGATCTGGGCTTATGTGCAACTGAATACAATAACGTAGCTTTTGGTGCACAGAAGCGCTCTGATCCAAAGCAAAGAGAGCACAAAGTGAGTAAACAGCAGACACAGTGGGATAGAAAAGAACTGTTGGATTCCTTCACTTATGTTACAATGTGGGTTCTTGATAAAGAAAGAATGCATCCACTATAAAACAGGCAGACGTCCAATGGCCTTGGAATTGGCCCGGAGGCAACAGATGTCAGGGAAAGTGTGTGTCAGTGGTTTGGGGGCCCGGGGTGGCCTCTGCTGAGTCCCCACAACCCTGCCTTTCACCACACTCTGTGTCATCACACAGATTCCAGCCTCACAACTCCTAGAGGCCTTATGTCTGGCTGGGCACCCTGGGAATCTGCCTAGGCCACAGAGCTGGGTTAATCTAATTTGGACGATCCATTTTCTACCAACTTCTTTTCAGTTACCACCCAGGATGCCGGCCTCATTCACCAATAATCCCATTGTTGTTCTAGGAGCAAACAGCTTTGATGTCCCTGCCTGGGAACATACTGCAGTTGGCCTCCCTACTCTTGCACACAGGGTTAAAGCAGAATGTGCTACAATCCCAGATGTCCTGAGGGCCAGCACTGCACTATGCCCTTTGGAAGGGAGGTAAGAGCCTTGGCACCCCGACTCCAGGGTGTGAAGTTTCCTCTTAAGCTGCTAAGCCTCCCCCTCCCTGATGTGCACACATGAACATGTAGATTTGGTCCTTCAGTGCACTATTGTGGAGAGCCTACTGTGTGCATGTATTACATTATATGATAAAGGTTCCAGGCCTTATTTTCTTTTAAATGTTAATGCCTTAAGAGCAGATACTGCCTGTAGAGAAAGAATTTTCTTAACCATGACTCTTGGGAGGCAGGCCATTCTCAGAACAAGCCTGTTTTTCTAGTCCTGTTTTGGCACCAACGCAGCCTATCATCTTAGCCTCATCCGCAGATGCTTCCTAGCTGTGTGAATGTTCTCAGAATTAGAAATACAATCCTAGCAAAATGCCAATAATTGCAGCCATCATTCTTTGAGCTATTCAGGTCAAGTGTGGTCCATGTTTGCTGCCTGTTGCTCCTAAAGAGCCATTCGGAAGAAACAACAAAGTTCCAAATTCCCAGAATGCTTCAGGAGCTCTGGTGAGAGCAAAATGGGGCTGCTGGTCACTTCCACATCCCAGGTGGTCTCTGCCGCCCCAGACAGCTGTGCTTCCCAGGATCAGACACTTATGACCTTCAGAAACATTCTCATGACAAGGCCAGCTTTTGCAACTCTCAAGGTTGCTCCAAATCCCAAAGATGGAAAAAAATTATCTGTATGTCATATAGTGTTGTTGGCAGATCTGAGCTTCTGCATATTCTGAATCTTGCAGCTGACATGGGGAGCTGCAGGAAGAGTTTGTGGAGGAATCTGGTGGCAGCAAGGAATGGGCAGCGAGGCCGCAGGGACACCCCATATATGAGATTGCAGTCCAATCATCCTCACTCTGGGGGGGTCTCAATGACAGCTCCTCTCACTCCGCTTGGATGCTCTCTTCCTCCTTCCTTTGTGCCCTCCACTCCCTGGGAAGCTTTCTCCATCTGCAACACTCTTGGAGGCATGGAGTTGGAGAAGTTGGGGGAAGGCAGGCATGACCACTGCAGTGCCCACCTGCACCTGGACATGCCAGGAAGGACACAGTAATGCAACCAGCGAACCAGGGGTGTCCAGCCAGCCCAACCTCTGCAGAGAGGCACATTTAACTGCTCCTAGAGAGGGGAGGACTGCTGAGGCCCATAGCTTACCAGATGCAGAAGGACAAACTCTTCAAGCAAGGCTACAGTGCTTCTTTTCAAAAAAGAGAAGGTGACAGAGGATCTGGGTTTGTCCTTCAGTCTATGGCAGGTTGACCAAAATAAAAGGAAATGACTCAAAGGAAAAAAGACAGCGAAGAAAACAAGTCCACAATGATTGGTCTGAAATAGAAAGCTATCACTCAACTCGGATAAAAAGGAACTTCTTTACCTCTCCTGTTCACCCAGTGATTAATTGGCAGATCAGCTTTTTGGGGCACCTGCTCAGCACTGCTTTCACAAGCAAATAGTGCGCTTGTTCAGAAGGGCCTTCAAAGTTGACAGTTTGATGAATAGCACATTTGTTCTGTGCTCCACCTGTGACTGCTGTTCTTCTTGGGGATGGTGCTGGCCCCTGTTGAGTGTTCAAACAGCTCATGGTTGCCACAGCCACTTAGTGGGAGAGGTTGGATGTCCCACAATGTGCAGGATGCCCCAGACAATGAAATGAAGGAATTTTGTGTTGAATGTCCTCCTGAACCCACCCCACTGCAAACAAAAATTTGTGGTGAAAAGTCTGAAAATCTTGTACAAGACTGCACATGAAGGCCCAATATGCAAGTTGGCTATAAAGAGGGAAACTAAAATGGAATGAATTGTATTTTTTCCAAAATTAAGTAATTTATTGACTTTCTGCAGTCTGCCAATTGAATGTGTTACATAAACTCTCCCACTTCAGTTAAAATGATTTCGGTGCAGTTGTACTGAAAAACAGCAATACGCCTGGTTGTACATATGTAGAAGAGATGCAAGGCTCTTCTAAACAAAATTAGAATCAACTATTGTCAAACTGTAGATTTCAATGAAATATTGTGTGCTTGCCCCCTATGTGTTTTTAAATAATTTTGTATCGTGATTAAAAAAATCTATTTTGTGAAAACTACCTATTAAAATTGTTTGGGGATTCTTGTTTCTCTGCCATATACGGACATTGCCCCCAGAGGTTTCTTGCACACTGTTGATCACTCTTAGATGTATTATCATTTCCTTTGTCTAATCCATCATCTCTTCTCCATGGTTACTCTAAAGGCTATGACTTTTGTAAGTTCCAGAGAATGAAAATTCGCCTTGAATGTTGCAGCCTATTAAAATAGACTATATGTTTCTATGCACTTGGGCACTTCCTCATTCCGTATCACAATGAAGGAAGTTACTTTGATAATACACATGATAAAGCCTAGCTCATTTGCAAAATTATTTTGTTTTATTTATATGATTCTTTGAAAGGCTGGTTTTCATTGGCATGCTATTAGTAAATCTAATGTCTTCCTTCTTATCATATGTAAATAGGTTTTGGTTAGTGTTTAGTTATCTAGTCAGGTCCTCTCTCTTCTTTGGCTTTTTCATACACCTGTACTTACAAAAACTCCTGAACATCTTGTATCCAAACATTCATTACAAATGATGCATGGAAGCATTTTACTACTTCCTTATATTTTCTGCCATAGTCAAGACTGGTCATCACA